AGAGAGAGAGAAAGAGAGAGAGAGAGGGGGGGGGGGGTGGACGCGGTTGCGCCGCTGATTGAATTGACTCGCGGGCTTCCTGAGGCCCGTTGCTGGACAAGATTAACGAGGCCCGGCCTGGATGTAAAAGGGGGTGGGGTGGCGGGGAAGCCACAGATATCTGACTACTTCTCTTTGTGATGTCCAGCAGTAGTAGTCCTGGGGGAACCGCGCGGCGTCCGGGGGGAGGGGGGGGGCCTCCGGGTCGGACGCGTGGGACTCTACTAGCGACCGCGGGAGCGCGCGCCAAGTAACCGCAGAGCAAAGGGGCGGGGCAGAAGGGGGGGGGGCGTGACTGTGGCGTTCTGCCGCTAAGATTAGGAACTGCTCTGGAACTGCTAATAAGGCCGGGGGAGGGCCCAACTCCCATCGCAGTGCTGCTGCGACAGTAAAGCCGCATACCCCTTCCGTCAGACCGGACAGTCTCCCTGTTCGTCGCTGCTCTCCGCCGTCCTGCCCCCTCTTCCTCTCGTGGCTCTCTCCATCTCGCTCGCTCAATCTCTCTCGCTTTCTCTTTCTCACAACTCTATCGAAACTCCCCCCGAGTCCCTGCTACCTGGTCGTGCCGGGCCGGCGCTCAGGGGAGGCGGCGACAGGACCCATGGTTCGTGTTTTGTATTGCTTACACAATGGCTCGGCAGTCTAATTGTAGCCGACTCCATTATACTTACTTGGGCCGACTACCCCTCCCCAGCTACGTCGCTGCTGTGCCTACCTTCTCGGGCTATCTCGTTTAAGCTACCCCCGCTCCTGCCCCGCTCCACCTACCTCCTCTGTTGCTACCTCGCTCTTGCTACCCCGGCCCTAGCTACCCCACTCCGACTACCCCCGCTCTAGCTACCACGCTCCTAACCTGCTCTAGCTACCCAGCTCCAGCTACCGCGCTGCCGTTCAGAATTGCTAGGAACATTATCGCTGAAGTTCCGTTCCTTCCCCCGCCACTGGCGCCCGGCGCCACTACCGGTCGGCCGCCAGCACAACTTGGCTCGTATAATTCTTACTACTGCTTTGTTCCTGTCGTTTTTAACGGCTCTACCGGACGGGTGGCGGGTGGGCCGGGCGGGCCGGAGGGTTGTTGGGTCCGGGTGCTCATCAGCGCTAACGTCACGGTGCGGTGCGGTACTCCTCTCTCCGGCCCTCCACAGCCAGCAGTAACGGATCATTGTCATCGGAGAGAGAGAGAGAGAGCCATCCGACCGGATGGGGACGACCGGACCGCGCGGCGGACGGAAGGGACGGCGAAGCGCGCAGCATCAGAGAGCAGAAGGCTGCTGCTCTACTTTCCAGAAATTGGGTGAATTTACCAAAACTAAAGACTGGTTTCGAAATGCGTGTCAGTTTGAACCGGTTGGTGGTCGCGGTCGAATATTTGTGATTTGATTACTTATTGCAGAAAGTATCATGTATATCAGTTTGCTTACGTATGATGGCTGTGGCGTACTGGCGCCTCTTTCCTGAGCGGCCAGACTGCTGCTGGGGCTGGGGGGCCTCCTGAACGGGCACGATGGTGGTCTTGTAAGGGCTACCCTCCAGCAGGCCATCCTGCTGACCGGCCGCCATCTTGGTCAACCTGAGGAAAAAGACGTCCCTTTGTAGATTTGTTCTAGTTTGTTTACGCTACAAATGACAGCATGGATGAAGATTTTGAAATTTGGCGACGGGTACATTCAGCTCGGGATGTCACAGCACAACGCGAACGCTGTGTATGTGTGCATGTGAGAGAGACAGAGAGAGCGCGCAGCACACGGGCACGCGCACTCCGTTTATCTTGTTAGCACATCTTCAATTAGTCTACACGTCAGTCTGGTGCGCGCGTCCTGATAGAGCAAAATTGGCTAGAAAAGCGGTATGGCACTGCGCTTTGCCAGCGCAACTGGGCCACGGCAAAAAAAATGAGAGACGTCGCAAACCGTTAAAGACAAATCAATCTCAAATTTTTGTTTTTCGATCTGGTTGCCTTGTCCCCCTTTTCCCCTCTCTGCTCTCTCCTGAAAGTGGGCGTTACAGTTGCACTCGCGCGGCACTTGGGACGCTATTTACTTGGTGCTATCTCGTGCAAACAAGTAATTCGGCTGCTGCTGTTGCCGGCGGCGCGCGAGAGCAGGCAAGCACCATAGTACCTTGGCATTTTCTTCTTCGCGGATTCACTTCAGTGAGCAGCCACATGTTTTGCAATATCGAACGATAACCCTTTTTACCCGACGATGGCCCGTCAGAGTCGACGCGTATCGTGTCGTGTGGGAGTTGCCTCCCTTGAAGCATTGCATCACGATTTTTTTTTTAAACTCACTGTTGGTGTTTGTTTTTGGTACCGCAAAAGCAATTGATTCAACTCAAGTAGTTCACGGCACTGTGATTTTAGCGCGTCCTTTTCGTGCTCAACCGATTTCAGATGCGATCGCACGCGGCAACGTTACGCTGCTCACAACTCTAACGTTCCCGCCGCCCTACTCACGCTGCTCTCAGCTCAGTCTGCGCCGCTCAGCCTCGCGTCGCCGTGCCCCGGCATACACTGATCCGCTCAACCTGCCACCGCGTCCCCCCTCTGCTCTGTCGCCCTCACACACACACACACACACACACACACACATACTTAAGCACAGACACACACGTGTGTGGCATCTTCCCGAAGATCATCTCAGAGAGGGGGGGGGGGATCGGAAAGGAGCCGGGGAGGAGGGGGGGGGGGAGGAGGACAGAAATGAACAGATAGCCGTCGTATCGTTCTTCTCGAGGTCGGGGTCATCCCATCGTCATAATTTTGTTGCCACTCCGACACCATGAAGCTGTGGAAGGGAAGGGGACGGAAGTATAGTGGCTCTTGAAACCCGCTTTTCAGGAATTTAAAGGCATTAGTTAAGGTTTTGTTTCTTTTGGTGGAAAAAGAATCCCTTTCATTTTTTATTTTTTTTGGAGACCTATTCGCTATTCGACACGTGGGACACGTTTCAGTGGTGCCAAAACGGCGCTGGAGTTGATTTATTTTCAATAGCGACACTATAAACTTTGATAACTTCTCTCCACTATAAAACTGGCTGGCAACTTATGTCGCCAATTGGCGTTATAGGACGCCAAAGATTTGGCGAGAGATTTGGCGTCCAAAAGGACGCCAAGATTTGGCGTTCAAAAGGACGCCAATACTTGTCGTGAAAGGACGCAAAAATTTAGCGTTCATCAGAGAGGACGCCAATATTTTGGCGTCATAAGACGCCAACCAATTTTCAGTGTCCCTGATGTCCGATCGACACGATTTTGACCAAAAAGAAAGGAAGTACGACGCAAGTTAACTCTCGTGAAAGCCACTCCGCTGTGGCTCAGATACGTTATGGCCGTTGAAAGATTTCTGTAATTTTTGTTATTTCGGTTAAAACGAACAATTGTTTTTTTTTTAAGAGGGACTCTGATCGTTGTCTTTTGCTCTTAAAAATCTAGCCACTGGGTGCCTAGATTTAAAATTGTGTGCTGAATCCGAATCCTTCGTTGTCTTGCTTTTTTTTCATCGGCTTACAGCCAAAGCAGTCCCTCAAATATATTTAAAAGAGTGTTATTTACGATAAAAATGGCATTTAAAGAGCTAACCACACCGAGTTCCTTATCTGATGGTCATCAAATTTACCTAATACTAGGTTGTACATAGGATAACATTTCTGGAAAGCTATACCTCGCTGTGGCTCAAATACTCACGAGGAACTAGAAAACGGGACTGACACGAAAAGTCCGGTGCTAGTTAAAATAATTTTCATTTGACATTTTAGAGTATTTTGTCGAGTCTATATACTTAAACTTCTAGTATAGTCGAGAAAGGGTTATACGGGGCGAGAGTGCAAGAGAGACACAGAAAGAATCTGATCGGCGAGCGCTGGTGGAGTGCGACAGCGCCGAGGTCCATCTGCTTCCACCCGATGGCCCCTTTTCCTTTATTATTTAATTGATTTTGTTTTGTTGCTGTATTTGCATAGCAGCTCGGGGAATAATTTCAGACATTGTGTATTTATTTTTCTGTCGCGCTCGTGTCCTGGCCAGCTGTCATCTCCCCTCAACCCCTCTTGTCGAAAAATACAACAGGGGGGTTGACGATTCGGTTTGGTCTGCTGTGTTGTGAGTTCGTTGGGTGGGCCGGATCCATTGGCGCGTCGACCTTTCGTCATAAGGACGGAGCGTAACTCGATATTCTCGCGAAACAACCTATGTTATGATAACACAAAGGTCAACACTTGTAAGAAATCCATCAGACATGACCAATGGTTCTATTACAAGCTGTTGGCGTTTTTAATAATTTTTCGCAGAGTTAGGCGCGTTTAGGCGAACAAGGCCACCGAGGACATGAGCCTGCCTATTCATATGTCTGACTGGCGGCGCCTCGGCGGCTGGCGGACTTTGTTATCAGACCGAAGTGATAAGAGTCGCGGGCTGCAATCAGTGCAGCAGACTGACGGCGGCGGCCGGAGTGCGGGGGAGTCGGGGGGAGTGCATCATAGCGGCCCGGAGCTGATCCGAACTCTGACGTGTTGCACCGGGGATGCGCGGGGATTAGTGTCACGTTAGTCGGGCCGCTGCCGCCCTGCAGCCCCCACACCCCCACACCCCCCAAAAGCTCACTCTCCCCTTCACCGCGCTGCAGTCTCCAGCTTACATTATTTACGCTGGTCTGGCCTCGCCCCACCCCCAGCATCGGCTGGCCTCGAACTTGCCGACGGTCTAAGCCGCGTCTGGCTGGCTGGGGAGTTCTCTCCTCGGAATTAGAGACAAAAAGAGGGTGGGCGCGAACAGGAAAACAGGCCAATCGCATCGGGTTGGCGATTTTTTCTAGGTTTTCTTTCTCGTTCCATAGGTCGTCTTGTGACAGTGTAATGTTATGCTAAAAAGCAGTACCTATTTTGACAATGTTGTCTGGGAACGGTTTACACTGCTGCATTTATGTCGCTCCGGAAATGACCAGTAGTCCGCTAATGGTCCCCCGTCTGCTTGTGTGAGTGTGTGTTGTGCGTCTGTGTGTGTCTGTGTCGCTTTGAGCCTGTCACAGGGGCGTTGGACCGCTTAAGTCCACTACGTTCTACAGCTTGCTCTGGTTGGGGTGCTGTCACTATTGGCGAGTGGGGCGTGTGAGCCCCATCACCCCCTCCCTGCCCTATCTCTCCCGCCCCTCCCCTCCCATCCCCTCTGCCCCTCTCCCTCACTTCCTCCCTTTCCTGCCCGCTGCTGCAGCAGCTCCACCCTCTGGATTGTCATTGGAGGACATACGCAATTTATTGGACCCGGGGGATACCCAGGCAGTCCGCCTAAACCGAGGAGGGAGAGAGAGAGTGAGAGAGGCGGAGTGACAGAGAAAGACACTGAGAAAATAACGCACGGACACAAAGTTGGTAGTACAGGCGGTATAGAAAACTGCAGCAGAGCATGCGCATTTTCGGAAAAGTGACGCAGTTAAAATTACATCGCCGCATGGTGAACCTCTGTTTCTAGTTTACGTCAAAGTAGAGGATCGTGCGTTCGACGGGGCGTCTCGTGTTTACCGTTTGAAAACGCCGCCGCCGGGCGCAAGCGAGTCTCCCCGGCGTGCCTCGGAATACCCTCGCTCAGAAGTGACATGGCATAATACACGAGCAATAACAGCGCGCGGCCCAGGACCGGCGGGGAATTTAATTTGAGCGATGTCTCGTTCGCTTCGGTCGCTTCGGTCTCAAGCTCCTGTGCTGCCGCCGCTGTGCTCGCCGTTTGCTTGAGCCCTAAGAGATGACTCTCTTCAATCACAGCACGGCGATATGGTCCGGAGGCGGTGAGGGAGGCTTTGCGTCATTCTCATTAGAGATATTGTTATATTGTCGTTTTTCTCGTGCGGCGCGGGCGGACACGTGACGTTCAGCGAGGGAGTGTCGTCCTGCTGCTCCAGCGGCCGCTGGGCCATCCGGTCGTTGCGGGGCGAGCGAGCGAGAGCTTAAGAGATAATCTCACGCTATGACGAATAAATTTAGCGGGAGGCACACACTTGTTTTCTCGCCGAGGGTATATAGATCGAATGGAATGAGATGGAGAGTGACGGCGGCGGTCGGTGGT